TTTATTTATGACTAAATAAATTCCATTGAATATACATACAACAATTTATTTATCCATTCATTCATTGGATAACCACTTAAGTCATTTGCCATATCTTGACTACTGTGAATAATACTGCAATGAACATGGGAGTGCAAATATCACTTCCAGATACTGATTTCATTTCCTTTGAATATATACCCAGAAACTGGGTTCCTGGATAATATGGTAGTTCTATTTTCAACTTGGGGAAGAATCTCTATGCTGTTTTCTCTAATGATTTTACCAATGTACATTCACACCAACAGTGTGCAAATGTTTCCTTTTCCCCGTATCCTCACCAACATTTGTTATCTTTTTGATTATAGTCCTTCTAACAGGTGTGAGGTGATATGTCATGGTTTAGATTTGTATTTCCCTGATGGTTAGTGGATTTGAGTACTTTTTCATATACCTATTGGCCATTTGTATGTCTTCTTTTGAGAAATGTCCAGTTAGGTCTTTTGCTCATTTTTTAAGTGGATTATTTATTTTCTTGCTAGTGAGTTGTTTGAATTCCTCATATATTTTTGATATTAACCCCTTATTGGGGATATATGGTTTACAAATATTTTCTCCCATTCCATAGGTTGTCCCTTCACTCTGTTGATTGTTTCTTTTGCTATGCAGATGCCTTTCAGTTTGAAGTAGTCCCATTTGTTTACTTTTGCTCTTGTTGCCTGTGTTTTGAGGGTTATATCCAAATATTTATTGCCCAGACCAATGTCAAGAAGTTTTTTCCCTATATTTCCTTCTAGTAGCTTTACAATTTCAGGTCTTAACATTTAAATCTTAATTACATTTTGAGTTGATTTTCATATACAGTATTTTTCTGCATGTGGATATCCAGTTATCCCAACACCATTTATTGAAGAGTCTATCCTTTCCCCATTGTCTGTTCTTTGTACCTTTGTTGACAGTGAGTTGAATGTAAATGTGTGGGTTTATTTCTGGGCTCACTATTTTTTCCCAATGCAAATACCATAGTATTTTGATTACTGTAGCTTTGTGGTAAAGTTTGAAATCGGGCATTTGTAATGCCTCAAATTTTATTCTTCTCACTGAAGACTGCCTTGGCAACTTGAGTTCTTTTGTGGTTCGTATGAATTTTAGTATTGGTTTTTTTTTTCTGGTTTTGTAAAAAATGCCATTGGAATTTTGATAGGGATTGTATTAAATCTGTAGATAATTTTGGTTAGTATGGACATTTTAACATTATTGATTCTTCCAATCTATGAACATGGAATATCTTTTCATTTATTTGTGTCTTCAATTTCTTTCTTCAACGTTTTATAAATGTCATCTTTTACCTCCTTGGTTAAATTGGTTCCTAAGTATTTTATTGTTTTTAATGCTATTGTAAATGGGATTATTTTCTTAATTTCCTTTTCAGATACTTCCTGGTTAGTTTATAAAAACACAACTAATTTTTGTATGTTGATTATGTATCCTGCAACCATAATGAATATACTGAATTTGTTTATTAGTTCTAACAGTTTTTTGATGGAATCTTTATGGTTTTCTATATATGAGTCTTATGAGTTTTAATTCTATACTGAAATTCTCCAGCCTTGCTTCTATAATTTTTTAACATATTGACTCAGTTATTTTAAAGTCAATCCCTAAGAATGCAAATGTCTAAACCACCTGTGAGTCTGTTTCTATTATTTGTTGTTTCTTCTGAGTTCTTGGCAATGTAACCTGATTTTTAGCCTCCCCCTAAACCATAAAGTTATGGTTGATGTTATTGTTTTTCAAAGAGGATTTTGGGGGTGGGGGTGAGAAATGATAAAGCACCAGAAGAGTACTTTCATGCCATCAAAGGTTTGTTTTAAACTTTCTTAAAATTGGTGCATTTTAAGTTCTTCCTTTACCCAAGACCATAGTCCTTACTCCAAAGGTGTCATTCTTTTGATATGCCATGGATCCTCTCATGTCTCAGCTGAAAGCAAAGTGTGTTGATAAGAGTGTATTGTTTTTGTGGGACTTGACCTCCACTGCTTTATTCCCAGAATAGTACAGCTACTGAAATAACTGTCACCTGTTTGACATTTTAGCTGCTATTTTCAACAAGCTTTGGTGGATTTTTTTGGAGGTGGAGGTCCCTTCCTGTGTGTGCATAGTTTAAGAGTCAGCCAGTGAAAAATTAAGGGGAATTTGTATACAGATTTTTTATATTCACTCTCAGAGATAGCTTCTTGTCTGAAATTTTGCCTCTGAGTTCAGTTGGTTTGAGAATCTTGAATCAGTAAGACTGACACTTTCTGCTTGGCCTCACTTTTTCTGCATTGTGAACTTGAAAATTCCCAGCGAATGTAGAGCTCATGTTCTGTGTATTTCTTCCCTTGGGATTATAGCTTCTCAAATTCTCCTTGTGTTGTTTGCTCTTCCAAGTCTTCCATTGTTTTCTATATTTTGTCTAACTTTTATTGCTGTGAATTTTCAGTGGAAGGGTTGTTCCAAATAAGGTATTCTCTCAGTGCCAGATTTAGAAGTCTCTTACCATTTTGTCTTACATTTCAGATAATTTATCTAAGATTATTTTATTTCTTGTTGGGATACATCCTTTAGAATTTCCTTAAAGATCTTTTGAAAATAAATTCTCAAATTTATCTGAAAATAACGTCTTTAAGACACTTGTGATAGAAGATAGTGCCAGGGCAGCACTAGGGGTAAGAAAGAAGGGAGGGTAGTATTGGGTAGCATCCAGTTTTAGATTATTATGGATGGTGCTGCCTTGAACATTATAGTACATGTCTTTTGGTGACATATATATACATTTCTCTTGGGTATATACCTAAGAGTGGTATTACTGAATAGTCCATGTTATGTTTGTAACATTTTAAAAATACAAAATGTCTAAAGAAGGGTGCCTGGGTGGCTCAGCTGGTTAAGTGACTGCCTTTGGCTCAGATCAAGATCCTGGAGTCCCAGGGTCGAGTGCCACATCAGACTCCTTGTTCAGCAGGGAGTCTGCTTCTCCCTCTGACTCTCACCCCTCTCATGCTCTCTCTCTCATTCTCTCTCAAATAAATAAATAAAATCTTTTTTAAAAAAAGTTTTAAAAAATAAAAAAATAAGAATAAATGTCTGAAGAGAAAAATTACTGGTCAACCCTCTCCACTTCCTGAGGTAGCCAAATATGTCCTTATTTTTCCTGCTTAGATAAACATAAACACATATTAGGAGCATTACAAATTTTTTGCTGAAAATATATATTGAGAGCATTCCTCAAGGTATGACTTGAGCTTACCCTTTTTCAGAACTGCATAATATTTTATAGTATAGGTTTTTAATAAATTGTTCATTCATTCCAATTTAACTGAGTATTTACAGAATGTAATATTTCAAAAGTTATTTCATTACATTCAGGATTTCATGGCAGTCTCAAGGTAGAAACTGGAAAGAAACTCTAGAAGGATATAGGATTTAAAACGGAGCAAGTGATGTGAAGTCTGAAACAGAGGGAGAGGTAAGAACTAGCTGAAATTTTAGTAGATATAGGAAGAAAACAAAAGGCTTATGGAAGAAGATTAAAAGAAAAGAACATGAAGAAGATGAGAAAACTTACAACATAGGAAAGCTGTGATTTGATTCACTGTTAAGCTGCTCTTTGTCTTGTTGAGGAGTGTGCTAAGATCGCCTTCCTCACCCCACAGTCATGTATCTTGTCCATCCATCCATCAAGCAGACATTACCAAGCACCTGTTTGTGGCCACATGAAGTGGAGAATCTAAAGAAGAACAAAACACAGTTCTTGACTTATGTTTACTCTAGTTTGGGGAGTTGTAATGAAACCCCAAAGTGATACAGGATGTAGGAATCTATCTCCTTTACCACTGAATCCACATTCCTGTCGAAGGTCCAGCCTGGACACTGTTTTGTGGTAGGGGAGAAAGCTTTTTACTGGTCACTTCCTGAGAACAGTTTGATCAGGGACACCTTCTCCTTAGGCACCCAGAAAATAGGGGCCAGTGCAGTGATGGATGAAGAGTGAGGAAACAGCAGAATGTACAGAGGCGGCACAAATCTTTCAGGCCTTTGGGACCAGCCATAAAAGGGACAAGTGGTTTTTGCCCCAGCTTCTAAATTTGAGCTCACCAAGCTAGATGAGCAGACATGGATTCAAGGCGGGACCATATAGTCAGGTTATGGCTCAAAGTCAAGTGTTATATCCTGCTCTTACTTGACTAAAATGAGACCGGAATAGGGACAAAGTTCAAGAATCCCCCACACAGGGAAAAATCATATTTATGGCTGTGTCACTACCAGCTATTTGAGCAAGGATATTTTATCTGTTTTAGTTCATTAAATTTATCAATTTTTATCACAAAAAATATAATTTCTACTGAAATGTTGAGGTGTATGAAGAAAACATACTTAAAAGTAATCTACTGTTAACTGTCTGAAGTAACTGATTCTAATTGACGTATGTTTTCCATATAATTTGTGTTTATATAAGCATATATAAATATTTTAAAAATTTTTCCTATAAAAATGCAAGCTCTATTTTTAATACCATGTTAAACGTTCATGAAAAATATTAATATAGATACAGCCTAACTCCTGGCACATATATGTATATTTAACTCATCCTTGTAAATAGTTATGTATCGTTTTATATACAAATCTATATTTATCAACCGCCCCCCGCCCCTTGTTGGTAAAGTCTTACGGATTTGTTTTTTAACCAATCGCCCTGTCGCACTCGGAGCCGTGCCGGGACTCCATCCAGGATTTGGGGCTGCATCCTCTCAACACAAAGCAGGGCCTCTGAGGTCTGGGGGCGGCCGGCCAGGCTCCGCCCCCCCCGCCGCAGCCGCCAATCGGCTCCCGGGTGGTACCCCCCCGCCCTCTCTGCACTGCATCCCATCTCACCGCTGCACGCCTCCCGCCGCCACCTCCGCCAATTACCGAATCAGCAGACTGACTACCCTGTCTCCTTGTCACGTCTCTGCAGATCAGTCCCTTCCCCCTCCGGTTAGCCCGGTGTGAAAATTGCTGGATAACGGGTGAGTATCGTCCAAAGATGGTTCTGGAACCGGAGCAGGCCCCGGCGCACCGACCAAGCCCGCGCAGCTGCGGTGGGAGAAGGAGCGACCCGGCCAGAGTCCGGGGGAGCGCGGGGGAGGGGGCGCCTGCGGGGTTGCGAAGGTAGTCGGGTCTGGGCCCGAGACCGCTTGGGCCTAAGGAGGTAGATGTCTTCCAAAGAGGACTCCCTGCGGTCTCTCCATCTCTGTGTCTGGTTCTGCTTTTTTCTACCACTCTGGCTCTTATTTCTTTCGTGCTTCATTCTTCGCCAGGAATTTCTGCCCTATTACAACACTTCTCATGATGAAATGTTTCGAAGCTGCAGCTACGTACAGAAAATAATATAACAGAATTATCAGATGCGGACATTTTATTATTACCTTTGCTTCAGCGCACTTGCTCTCCCCGCCCCCCACCCCGTGGATGAGGATGTGTGCCTCCCCCCTCCCCCCGTGTGTGTATGTGTGTGGGTGTCTCCTCCTTTCTAAGAAACAACCTGACAGTTAAAATCTTTTCCCCATGAAATCTCATGTCCATCCTCAGATATGTTAGGGTCTATCCTTCTCACGTATATTTTTGTCCTTTTATTATTTATTTTTATGTAAACAATATGTGCGTTTTTGTTTTGCATTTTAAATTTTTCCATGCAACTCAGTACTTGGGGGTTTGCCTTGCGGTGCCATTAGTCTTGTCATTTCAGACTGGAAGGGGACTTAGCAAGCGAGTCTCTAGCCCTCCTTGTTTATTAGCTCAGAACCTTGAGCCCTGTCGGGGATAAAGGACGTGCTCAGATTGTCCTTCACTGGGCAGGATCCTGAATTGAGGTTCTCTTGATTGAGGTTCTCTTGATTTCTGTTCCTAGCGTTCCTTCTATGTTTTATGCCACTGAGCTCACCTACCCACATCCCTTATTGGCTATTAATTATATGATTCAATTTGGGGAAAGATTTAAAGAAGAAAGGAAAGAGGAAAGGGAGGTTGAAGGGGACTCGGGAAAGGAAATATGACTTGGATTTGGACCAAAACTCTAGTCAGTATATTAAAAGGTATGCCTTTTCCTGGAACATGAAGTATTGAATCTTAGGGCAGCCTGAATATTTATTTTATTTAATAGGCACTGGTACAGTCTTACTGCATGCCAGTCATTGATCTAAGAACTTTACAAGTATTCACTCAATTTAAGCCTCACAATAAATCTGTAATATAGGTACTAATTTTATCATTCCTATTGTACAGGTAAAACTGAGGTGCAGAGAAACTAAATAACTTGCCAGAAGTCACTCAGCCTGTAGATTGTAGCACTGAGACCTGAATCCGGGACATCTGGTGACAGTCTTGAGTTTTTAACTGCATTTCACATGCTAAAACTAGCTCCTGAGGGCGGTGAAGTCATGGGACAAAGTAGAACTCACAGTTCACAGAAGGGAGGGCAGCTGTCAACTGGTGATCAGAAGAGATTTCAAGAAAGAAACAGGAACTGAAATGTACATAGAAAGGTAGACTCTAGCTACCTATTGTCCGTTTGAAATATAATATATCCATAACTTACAAAAGAAACATAGACAGTGCAAACAATGCAGAGCTATATAAAAGTTGCCCTGCGCTCTTCCTCAGGTCAAACAATATTAACAGGTAGAGATGTAGTCTTTCCTTCTCCCATCATAGTACAAATACGTAAAGGGCTATTTTTTTATTACAAAAATGAAAGCACAGCTAACAGTTTTGTACAATTTTTATCCCCCCCCCGCAGTATGTCAAGTACATCCCCCCAACCAAATGGAGATCTAAGCTCTTCCTAAGAATTGAATATTATCGCACCGAAGATGTCCTATCATTTATTCAGCCTTTCCCTTAGTAACGAATAGTCAGAGAAGTCTATGTCTCTAATAGAACGGCCGTCCACTCTGCCAGGATGGGGGCCGCCGCAATGCCGAGCCAGCAGGGCCGGCGACACAAAGAAGAGCTGTCCCCTGCCAAGCGCCGCCCCTCGGGCTCGCTCTCGCGCCCAGGAGGAAGTGGGGAGGAGGAGACTCTTCGGGAACCCCTCCTCTCCCCCTCCATCCCGGCTGCGCCTCCTCCCCGCTACCAGCTCGCTTGCCCGCCCGCCGCGGCGCTGCCTGCAGGGAAGCCCCTTCCCCGCCGCACGGTGCGTCCCCTCTGCACCCAGCCCTGCCCCCGTCCGGCTGCCGCCGCGACCCGGTGAGTGGCCCCTGCCGAAGCCTCGCAGGCCGGAGAAGGGGCGGCTGGCGAGGAACTCGGCCTGGCTCTGGGGGAGGGCGGTGCCGGAGGCCGAGGGGGCCCGAGGGTGCGCGGGCGGACCTGCGGGACCTGCGGGACCTGCGGGACCTGCGGGAGGGGCGCCCGGATCTGGGACAGGTCCCTCGCTGATTGTGTCCTAGCCTCTGTTGCTGATTTTTCTCTGCTCTGGGCTCCCCGTCGCCGCTGCCGCATTGCTGCCCCTCGCCGGGTTCTGACATCTGATGTTTGTGTTTGCGTGCTTTGTGTGGTCGAGATACGCACAGGCCCGACGGGAGAAGAGCATCTCCTCCGCAGCTTCGTCGGATGAGAATGCCCAAGCCCAGGGAGCAGGGCTTGCTCAGGGTCATACAGGTGGCTGGTGACAGAGCATCACTTCTGTCCTACTGCCCTTTGATCTTTGCAAACACCGGCTCTGGGACTGAGAGCCACTCTCACTAGCCCCTGGGAGACCCGTGCAGGTGTGTGTGTGTGTTTAAGTGCAAGAGGCGCCAGTGGTCTGTGTACCCCTACCTCACCCAAACCGTGCCAACAGGTCTGGAGCATTCCCTACCGGGCAGAGCTTTTCTGCTCAGCTCCCCTCCTCCCCCTATTGCCCCCACCCCCAGCCCCTCTCCATTCCTTCTCTGACGTCACCAACAAGCTCTTTGCGGACTGGCTCTGGGCCTGTGTACAAGTCTGGCTGGGGTGAGGGCCTGGGGAGGAACCGAGAGGATCCCGCACCAGAACTCAGTATGGACAGCCCCTCAAATTTAAGAACGACCTGTGTCGCACGTTGTCTATTTCACAGAACGCTGTGCTCTGGGAGGCAGCCTGGTCAACACTCCCGGGCTTGCGCTCCCCATGATGACGTACTCTTGGGAGTTTCCTCATGAGAGAAATGAGCAAATATGAGTGAGAGAAAGAGAGCCCCTGGGGAACTCAGGAATTGAGAAGGGTGAGAGGTAAGATAGGAAGAGGGGAATAGGAAAGCAGCATTTTAAATCATGCTTACTTTTTTGGGAATGGGGGGAGTATTAGGACAACTAGAAGGCCTTCAAAAATAATGGTAATGGTCTGTTTTTTAAGCTGGGTTAGTAGGTATATAGGAATCTGTTTAATTTTTTAAATTAACGTTCTAATACATGTATTTCATATTCTTTTTAAATATATTAAACCATTTTTCAATGAAAAATAAATAAAACTGATCTGGGAATATGTAGGACAGGATACAAAAGAAGGGTGAACCCACCCCAATTCTAGCTTAGTAGAAGTTGATGGACATTGGACAGGGTATTGGATGTATAAGGAAAAAGAAACACGGGGTTCATGGAAGAAAATGGCAGGAAGAAGAGAAGACCTATAGGACTGAATGTCTGTGCTGTTAATCATTTGTCAAGGCCTGGGTAGCTGTTTGCTGAAGAAGTGATCTAGGTCTGCCCTTGACACCATCCATCACTCCCGTTATCCACCACGGAGCACCTCTTCATTCTCCTGGAGAATCCAAAGAACTCACATACCCCTGATCTCAGACACTTACCCTACTTGGATTTGAAATAGAACTATAATGCAGGATGTGGTACAGTATCCAAGACAGGCCTGCTACCCTCCTTCCCTTCCAAATACATCTCTTAAAGGGAAACCCATTTAGGTTGCATGGGGCCTCTTTGTGGTAGGGGTAGGGGATTCGTAAAGCTCTCTGCCTGAGTTACAGGTTGTGCCTGAGGTACCTTCTGCTTTAGAGGTGCCTTGGGTTCCAGCAAGCTGAAAGAGGGCAGAGTTGGCCCAGAGGAGAGAAAGCAGAAGCCATAGAAGGAGAACCAAGGATGAAGAACTTAGGGAGAGAAATAAAAGGGATTCCCCCACCCTGCCCCCACCCCAGGCTGTGTCCCTCTGCAGTCCCCACGCTAGGAGAGCGTAAACAGGAAGCTTTCAGTTTAAAAGTCAGGTGTTGGAGTCATGGATATAGCTGGTTAAAGTGGGAACAGGACCAGCTGCAAAATTCAAAGAACCCCATAGAGGAGGAAATCAAATTTTTTTAGTAGGTAAATGCTCAGCCGATTGGGAGATGAAAAATACATTTTTGGTGAGATATGATCAGGTAAGCAATCCAGTAATATATATACCCAGGCATTTAATGTGTCTTTACTTGCTTGTTTGAAGTTATATTACCTGTGTTATTTTTAACTGTAACAGTAATACATACAATTTAAAGGATGAAGACTTGTATAAGGAGAACGAATACCGTTCACCTCTTCCCTCCCTAATGCAGTTAATGTTGGCATGTTAAAATGTGGCCTCCATAGATTTTTCTCTTGTATAGAAAATCCTGGTCCTTAACAGGCTTATATGTTTCTGGTACTTAAGAATGTGGACTCAGTACAAGATTCCCTGGGTTTGAATCCTGGATCCACCAGTCACACTTGTGTGACTTGAGCAAGTAACACGTTCTCTGGCCATCACATTTTTTGTTTTGTTTGTTGTTGCCCACCTATAAAATGGATAGTGATCTTACATACCTCACAGGTTTGTTGTCAGGATTAAATACTTTATGAAAGAAACTTATAATACCTGGAACCTGGAAAACAGTGTGTTGTGATTACTCCTACTAAAATTACTAGTACTCCTGTTATTATCTTTATCCCTACAAAAATGGGTTTGTGTGCTATATATTATAGTGACTTGAGGTTTCCACTTAAAGTATATCTAGGGGGACGCCTGGGTGGCTCAGTCGGTTAAGTGTCTG